ATTATCTAGCCGCAGGCGCTAACTTACCTTTCAAGAAAGGAATGCAATCATTAGCTTTGGAAGTCATTTATCATGTGAGTCCATGTGCCCCTCTTTGACAAAGCAGTGATATACACACTCTCTGCTCTGTGTAGTGAGTGCAGAGCAAAATGTAATGAAAAGGAATTTAATAACACAGATTCATAATCAAATGTAACACACCCTCACAAAACAGCTGTTTGATTTATAAGCTTTAGGCGAATGTGTCGAACTAATTAAAATACTAGTTGACTAAAGTCAGTTTTATTCTTTTTTAACCACCAAACGGTAACAAGAGTTATCTCAGGACAGTTTCATATAAAGTGACCCAACAATTCCCCTATGGCCAGGACCTCGATCATAATCAGGCTGTAGGTGTAGATACAGAGCTTTACTGTAGTTTTAATTAATTATAATTCTACTGTTAGTTGACAGTCCACATTGTAGAACTGTCATTAGTATTTATAATTTATTAAGACATCTCACTCCCATATTTTCCACTACACTGTAAAACCTCATGCTGCTATGTCATCAGATCAAATTATATTTTATCATTAACTAAAGCGGAACTAATAATCATATAATATATATATAATAATGTGAAAGGGGTTAATTGTAGTGATGAACCCACAGAGAATTATCACCTGACTGCAGCTCCCCTCAGATCTATGGAGCATTTTAGCATCTTTCAGCTCGCTGTTTTTGTTACAGAGTTGTATAATTGTCTAGAGTTGGTTCGTGTTCTCATGGCAGCATTTACAAGAGGACCAGATCAAATGCCTTGTGTGAGAAAGCTGCTCTTGATTGGTCAGAATTTCCATGTGGGAAAAATCCAGGAAGTAAAGCAAACGTTCAAGAAGAGTACACTTGCAAGATAAATATGACACTTTCTAATGTCACAATGGAGGGACAACTACGCAGGTTGATTTTAGAGCTGCTCATCGTGGACTATATTGCTGTCATTGTTCATTTTAGTCAAACCATACAGTTTGAAAACGAGGCGCGGCTCCAACTAGAAAACAATGTTTTGATGCACTGGATGTGCTGAATGTGCATATTAAGGCAGTACAGGAGGAGGTGCACATTAATAATCCTCCAGGACTGTAACATGCTCATGTTTAACCCAAACAATGTGTCATGTGACTGCAGTTGGTTCACATCCAGGTCAGAACACCTTCTCACCACAAACGAAACGCACCAGAGTTTGTTTGTAACCGGACTGAGACCACCTCTACCAGAACTGCACTTAGGGGGCGAACAAACTTGAGTTCAGTTGAAACGACCCAAACAGGGCAGGTGTGAAAGCACCCTTAGTTCAATTCTCAGCGCTGTTTCCAGCAGGCAGCTCCAAATTATTAGGCCTACACGATATCTGGCTGGTGAACACAGTGGAGCATTTAGTTGCTAAAGGGACAGATATTTTTCTCAGAAGTTGGTGGAGACCAAAAACAGAGCTAAAAGCAGAGTGAACATTGGACTTACATTTGTCTGGTGACAAGGAACATGACTCCAAATTAAAGCTGGGGTAGGCAGAAACCTGGAAAAGGCAAAAAACAGACAAACACAAAAAAGGGCAGAATTTGAAATACACCCTCTCTGTCCTAAGCCCCTCCCACCTGCAACAACATGCATGTGCACGTTTCATACAGCAACCCAGTGTTTCCCATACATCGATTTATTTAGTACTATTCTCCCTATTCTCAAACTAGGAGAATCAGACTAGTAAGCCTTCAAGACTATACATGTTTAGATTTTAATTTGCTGTAAATGGACACACAGGTTACTCGCCAGTGGTCTCATTTACGTGTTATTTTAAAAAGAATCTGTTACTTACTTACTAAACACAGGTGTCACCAAATCATCCTGGACTGAACTCAATTTAACATTCATGTGTTTAATTTGCAGTGGTAGCACTGTCGCCTCACACAAGAAGGTTCCTCATTTGAACTCAGAGTCGGGGAGCTCTTCTGTGTGGAGTCTGCATGTTCTCTCCGTGTCTGTGTAGGTTTCCTCCGGGTACTCCAGCTTCCTCCCACAGTCCAAAGACATGCAGGTTAATTGGTGACTCTAAATTGTCCGTAGGTGTGAATGTGAGTGTGAATGGTTGTTTGTCTCTGTGTCAGCCCTGTGATAGTCTGGAGACCTGCTGTGAAAATTGAACCACATATTTTTACTTTTATATCCTTCTCAAGTTTATACTTCTTACTCCTACTTTCTATCAATCATTATGCTTGACATCAGAGCGACTGTAATGAATCACAATTCGCCCCGGTGGATGAATAAAGTAGTCTGATTCTAAAGTACAGTGAATTTAATGTTTTTATTACAACAAATTAGGAATTCTTTAAACAACCTTACACCTAATTGATGCACCAGGAAACATGTATTTCAGATTAAATAGCTTAAAATGTGTCAGTGTAAGTTTTGTGGTTAAATATTTTGTAATCAACAAAAAAAATCCAAACATCTATGTCCTTACATCAAACCTGTGATCGTCACTGCAAATCTGTCAATCATGTAATTAGTTATGTATACAAAACTGCTGTGTCTGTATCCGAGTACAGACTGTACATACAATAGTGAGGCAATTCTGGTAAAATACCTCGAGGGCTGAACTTAATGATCTTTAATGCACAGAAAAAGAGCATCTGAGGACAGAAATGGATCATACACAACAACACACCCACGCCCCCCGCCGTCTCCCGCACGCACACCGAGCCGTACTCATTCTATATCCTGACATTTAGAGCAAGTCGCATCACATCTAGACGTCAGCCGAGTGAAGAGATGCTCTTAACTGTTAAAGGTCGGCAGAAAACAAGAGAAAAATGGAGATTCAAGCTTCATTAGAGTTCAATTCAAACATGACAGAACATGTGAACTCATCATCTGAACAGCAAAAAACGTAATCACAAACATTACATCTCAGGGAGTCTGTTATTATTTCAGTTTGTGATACACTCGTCTTTCATTGTATTGCTGCTGCTCGGTGTTTTTGGTAACTGCTTTACCTGCAGCTACAGTATATACTATAATGATTACAGGTACAAATGCAGCCCATGGAAACCAAAGAAAATAAACACACTTAGTTGGATATTCTTCAACTAATGTCACCGCTTTGAGTCATGAGGTGACCTGAATGTAAAACTGAACTTCTCTTGAGGGCCTATGCTACATAACTTTATGAACGCTCATTTATCCGGCAGTTAATCCTGTTTTCTGAACATCTTTTACAACTTTGAAGAGCAGAAATATGGATGAGGTGCTTCGCTCCAGGCCAGAGCAGTGCTTGATCCAGGATTAAAAACACATCCTCACTCTGGGAGGAAACATGTTAACCCCTTCAGACCCTAGGGTTATGATACATGATACTAAAGGTGCTGAACTTAACCATATTCTTTACCGTGTGGAATAACAGCTATCCTCCTGGGACGCTCGCTACTTAACCTTGTTTCCTGAAGAGAAAACCTTAGAAGAGTCTAAATACTGAGGCTTAGTCCGTCTGCATTCACTTGTATTTGTCACTCATTAGTGAACACAACTGTATTTTTACCAGTGAACACTTTCAAAGCTTTAAGGCTATAATCCTTAACGTTTTTGTGAAAATTAAATCCTGTTCTTGATAATGTTTATGGTCGGCATTCTCTCAGCAATAACCATTTAATGGAATTACCTCCCTAAATTTAGTAGCTTTTATTATTAATGTTGGGTCCGCCATTTCAGATTGCCTACCAATGAATGAGACATTCAAAGGAAACAATGCAGCATACAGTTCAGCTTGACTGTCATGTAATTTTGTGCCATTAGTGGTGTGTCCATGAACATATTTTTATGTGCATTTTGCAAAATCACATTAGAAAAGCTCTAAGGAAATGGCAAAATCTGAAAAGTTTTTATTGTGCAAAAAAAGTTTTTACGCTCCCCTGAGGTGGTTTCTGCCTTTGGCGAAAAAAAGTTGATGCAATAAATGGGATATGGACACATCTTTGCCAAATACGTTCTGATGTTGCGAACAGTTAACTCACTAATTTGTCTTCATCTACGGACAGCATGAAACATGACCAAGACTAGCAGACTTGAAAAAACAATTAAAACTTGCCCATTTTAAAAACATTCCTGAAGACAGTTTTTCCATTTTCCTCTTGTAGGTTAGTAGATAACCACGGGGACTTGTTTTGCTTCTGGTAAGCAACCTTTACTTCTACTACTACTCTCTTTACAGCCATTTGTAAAGTGTAGTCTATATTGCTAACTTCTGATGAAGCTAAACTTTGCAGAGCCTAGTTTATTCTCTCCAAACCAGTTAAAGGGATAGTGCACCCAAAAATGAAAATTCAGCCATTACCTACTCACCCATATGCCAAGGGAGGCTCAGGTGAAGTTTTAGAGTCCTCACATCACTTGCGGAGATTGCAGGGGAGAGGGGGTAGCAACACAACGCCACCTAATGGAGGCTTACGGTGCCCCAGATTCAAGCATCCAAAAACACATAACTGAAACCACGTGAACCACCTGAAGCCTCGACATAAAAAGTTGTTTGGAAAACAACACAGAGAGGCAGTTAGAGCTACAGGCTACAATGAGGCTAAAAACAGAGTTCAAATGATGTTTTTTCCAAACAACTTTTTATGTCGGGGCTTCAGGACACTTGGATCACTGCGGATGAGCAGTATGGAGATATTTTGTCATTTCAATTATGTGTTTTTGGACGTTTAATCTGGGGCGCCGTAAGCCTCCACTTAGGTGGAGTTGCGTTGCTACCCACTCTCCTCTCGGATCTCCCGAAGTGTTGTGAGGACTCTAAAACTTCACCTGAGTCTCCCTCGGCATATGGGTGAGTAGATAATTGCTGAATTTTCATTTTTGGGTTCACCATCCCTTTAATTACGCACCTAATTCGCATGTCTTTTTTGCATCATTTCAAAAGTTTGCTTATGATTCGCTCAACAGTTTAATAAAAAAGGCAGCTCATGATATCAATCTCAGTGTTTGTTTCATTCTTTATGTTTTATTTTTTGGGAATATTTTTCACCTTCATTTGAGATTTGACAGCGAAGAGGTAGACAGGAAACGAGGCGGAGAGAAAAGGTACGACAGGCAACAAAGGTGGTCGGACAGAACGGAACTGGACACACTGTGATTATGTGGCATGCACAGTAACCTCTCGACTACCAAGGGGCTCCTTCACTTCTCGATAAAAGCCTTTTAGACATAACAAAGAGAGCTTCCTAAGAACTATAACATGACGGTACATAATTATTTATTTGCTGAATCCTTTTTCATTGCACTTAGTAGCATTTACTTCTTAGCAGTAAACCAACTTTTCCATTTTCAAGCATATTCATAAGTGCTGTATCATAGGCAACTGGACTTGCTAGAGTTTCTTGAAGATGTTTCACCTCTCATCCAAGAGGATTCTTCAGTTGTAACGGACTGGTGCGGAGTCACAGGCTCTAAACTCAGTGGGTGTGAACCCTCACAGGCATCTCCAAGTATACAAATGTTTTCTAAATTTCAAGATCTTTTCAAAATGTTGGTGTTTCCACTTATGTTTAATAAAAAGAGTTCATCAAAAATGCACCTATGAAGGTTAGCGCTGACCATGATCGTTTCATCAAAAATGCATCTGCAAAAATCTTTTTTTTTTTTTAACAATGGGCCAATTTTTAAATATTGCAAAGAGTAATGGAACAATCAGGAGCAGCCACAGTGAGCTGTTACAGCCCAGACACACCAAACTGACTTCAGAGGCTGCATCTCCTGATATCACCTGTGTCTCTGCCTAGAAAGTTGCACATGAACACATCGTAAAGCCTACAGACAACGGCAAACCAGCACGTACGTTCTGCACTTGTGTGAGAGAAGGTAACTCTCCACACCAGCAGATGGTAGTCTGTAATCTTAATTAGAAAAGGTAAACTGGAAGACCGTCTTGATGCTAGTTAGGCAGTTAGCACATTAACAACACAATCCAATGTAGAAAGAAAAGATATTAATCTTGCAACAGTAACAGTTACACAAACCATCAGGAAACGTTTCTGCTAAAAAGCTCACTGGCTCCCTCTTGACTTTGGTTGTTTGTTTACTTTCCTCACTTCTGTTTCTCTTCGTGTTGGGCTAAGCTGAACTGCCGGTTGAGTGATTTCACTCACTGATGGGCTACTCTGTTGCCAACACTGATTAAACATGCTGAAATGGCCCAAAAAAAAGCAGACAGGAGGCGACAAGGGCATTTGTGCAGGACACACCGCACCGACTAGGGCGACAGACGCTCACCGACAGCCCAACTCTGACTGATGTTCGACTGTCAGCTTGGTGTTTCAGGGCCTTTAGATGAAAAGCTGCAAGCGACAGGCGGTCAAACACATGTTTGCTGTAGTATTAAACCGCCCATTCTGTTACAAACAGTAACAGTAAAAACTTTAAATCAATGATATTATTACTCATTAGCTGCAGACACAACTGTCAGGTTTATCTTTTAGCAAACATGCATTCTTATTTAGCATGAAAAAAGGTCAGGGTACGATTATTCACTATTAAAATGCGCCAAAGAAAAACACTGCAGAGAAATCTGCATGAAAAAAAAAAAAAATCTGCTTCTTTTGTACCAACACAAAGGAAAAGAGAAAAAAATATGTAAGCCTACATTTTCTTGTCTGTGATATGCTCACAAGACAAACAGGTGATGCCAAACAAGGCAGAGCGACACATGGTAAACACACAAATCAAGGGGAAATTCCAGCACTGTATGCACTGTAAAAATACACTGCAAATAATAAAACTAAACTGACAAATGTGCCCCCATGCTCCGGTGAATCTCTAAGGGGCTGAATGGCATGGGAATGAGCTTTTAACAGAGACACCGGGGGAGGAAGAAAGGAGTCCCATTGCGAAAGAGTTGAATTACCATATCACTGAGGAGCAAATACAAAGCTCCTTGAGAGCAGCGGGGGATCCGTCATCCAGTGAAGAGCGGTGTTGAAATGCGGATATTTCTGAGTACTCATACACCACACACTGGTAATAAGCAATGGGGGAGATCACAGGGTTGTTTAAACCTCACACAGAACATCCTGAGATTCCAGGCTTCTCTGTGACAAAAGCAAACCTGAATATGGAAAAATCTTCGGTCAGACCTTGTAGAATTTGAATGAGCTCTCTGTAAACAAACTTAAAAACATGGAAACAATTTCGACGATAAAACTATCATACAAATGCAGAAGAGTTAGTAGCCGAAGTTTCCTCGAGCCATGCAGTATCCCAGTTTGTTCTGGTTCCCAATGAAAGACATGATGCCTACGTAAGTCTCGATGAGGATGTTCTGATTCAGGACCAGGACACCGTTGGCCTTGCCAGGAAACGGCTTTATAGTGTGGGCTCTCTGCGCTGCATCCTTGAGCTGTTCACGAAACTTCTGGATCTGTGGACAAAAGAGTGGGCGGGATCAGAAATACAGAACGAAAATACACCTTAGTCACAGTGTGTATGTCCGGTCACAGTATTGTACTTTAGAGGGATTCAATCTTTTTTTTGTCACATACCAGATAAGTGACAGTGTCAAGCATAATTTTCATTAGATCATTAAAGTCCCCCTCCAGGGGGAACCAGGGAGATACTAAGTTCCAAGTCGGCCTACAGAAAAAGGTCATCCCTGGAGCACTGTACACCGATCAGCCAAAACATTAAAACCACTGGCAGGTGAAGTGAATAACATCGATCATTTCATTACAATGCAATGTTCTGCAGGGAAGCCTTTGGTCCTGGCATTCACGTGGATGCCTCTTTACGCACTCCACCCACCTAAACATTGTTATAGACCAAGTACCCCCACTAATTGCAACAGTACTCCTCAATGGCAGTGCCCCTCCAGCAGAAAAAACAGCATGCCCAATGGATGTTCGATCGGATTGGGATCTGGGGAATTTGGAGGCCAGGTTGATTCCTTGAGATCTTTGTCACGCCCCCCAGGGCCATTTGTGGTGTGGCATGGTGCACTGTCCTGCTTGGGGGGAGGTATTGGTCTGTAATGGTGTTTGGGTGGGTGGTGCGTGTCAAGTGGCACCTGCATGAATGGCACTTCCCTAAAATCTGAGATTCAATCCTACACCAAGCAGCTAAATCAGGTACGTCACTAAAATAAAAGCTGATAGCTGTCTGATATGCAAATTCCAACAATAAACCTGAAACCTCGAGCACAGAGCGGACTTATTACAGTGATATAAAAATCTCAGCGAGACAGAAGACATCTTCCTAAAAAAACTTTCATTAGACCTCTGGTATATGATCTGCAAAATCTACCAGCCACTCAAAACATTACCATTGTTTTTTGGCTGGTGAGTAAAGAAAATCTCAATTAAACACAATTAAAAAAGCATAAATAAATGCTGAAATTAATATGCAAATAGATAAATACATAAATAAATAATTAATGGCATAAATTAAGAAATAATGCAGGGATTAAAACCTCCTACCTCATAAACATTGGGCCAGAAATACAGAAATATATAAATGTGGTTGTACAAAAATGTAGAAATCAAATTAACAAATGTATTTATGTCTTGTTTAATTATTAACTTTAACTATTAATTTATTTATGCAATTATCTATTTATTTTCCATATTTTTATTCATCCATATATTGGTGCATTTATTTATTTTTGTATTTATTTCGGCATGTATTTATTTATTTATTTACATATGTATTTATTTACAAATGTATTCCCATATTCATTTAAATAACTTTATTGATACTGATTACACAATATTTTACTTATTGGTTAATAGAGTATTACAGAGTGTGTACTACTATCTGTAAAGTCATGTTACTAAGATTCTTAATCAACACTGTAGTTTACAAATCACAGCTTAAAAGGAAATAATCAGAGGTCGGGGTCAAATCTCGATGACCTGCCTGCAGTAATCACCAAACTACAGTCTACAGTCAGGATCTCTCACATTTCACACACATGATGTGTCACATCATAATTAAGATTACACTGCATTCTTAGGGAATGTTCTTCCAGCTGTTTGAGTCTGTCAGGCTCTGCTGCCAGTCAACATGTGTGTGCACTCACTGAAATGTGTATAATTCCACCTTCTCTCTTACTCTGCACAGCAAGTATGACGCGTTTGTAACACTGTTGAAATTTCATTCCATAGTACAGGATTGCTCCACTCATTTCTCCTCCTCATGCTGAGTGGTCTGCTGTAATTGCTCAAAAAACATTGATGTTGAAATCTCTCTATCAGTTTTGCAAGCACGTCATACTTCTGTGTTGAGACACACATGGCAATTTTTTTAGTAGTACAAACCTAAAACTAAACATTAGTCATCTGAGTGCTGGTTTTATATATTGAGACTTTATATCTGATACCTGTCAATCGGAGGATTTCATTGGGTTTCAAAACTAAACTGACAGAGTACACATGAACAATATCTGATGGCTAATTCCAGTAAGTCACCTCTGAGTGATGACTCATTCGACCACACGATGAATCTCACCACACTGTTGTGTTTTGTTAAGTGATAATAGTTAAGTGTCTCGATAACTCTTAGAGTACACACCTCCACCTGGATTAGTCACAAAACAAATGATAATATGAAATAAACCGACATTCTGACAAATTAGAAGTCACTTCGCCCTCATCACTAACTTCTGGTGATACAGAGTCGCGCAGCTGTTCCATAGTTTCAGATTTATGTGCTGAGTTGTTTTGAGATATGTGACTCTCAAACTTGTGCCAACTTTGACTGGAAATGGTCCCAATGAAAGCTGCTGATAGTGATTTTCCTGAGAAACCAGGATATTGTTCCAGGAAAGAAATGCTGCTGCTGTTGTTGTCTTTTTTCTCTATGTATTTCTTTCAATGCCACAAGCAACACAAATTAAATTTCAAAACATCAGCAATTAAATCCACAGCTATCTGCATGGCTCGGCACTGCTGGTGTTCCATGAGATGTATTTGTGTGAGTGTGATTTGGGCGAACTGAGCCTTTAAACAAGGCCAAACTGGCCTAACTGATTGATCAACTTACGTCGCAGAGAGCAGCGTATGTCTCATTGATGTTCCTCACAGGGTGGTGTGTGAAGGTGATGAAGGGGTAGTCGACGGTGAAGGGGTTCCACCTGGAGGTGAAGGAGGGCTCTCTCAGCCGGTCCCAGAAGAGTCGCACCCCCTCCCCCTCTCTCCTGAACACACAAAGACACAGAGGAACACAAAGTGTGTCTCTCAGTGACACGTTTGACTCAAACATGTGACAAAACTTCAGGTTCCACAGTTCGTGTTGTCACCAGATCAATACCACCACTCACTGCTTTCTATAAACAAGTTCTTGTTTTGTTTTCCAGTGAGAATTTTGCATAAAACACTGAATATAAATTATTTCTTTGCCTCAGGCCACATCCAGAATAGCTTCAACTTACAGGCTGTCATTTGTAAGTGACAATTATGAGGCACAGAATTGTTTTTGCCTATAGCTTTTATCCCAGGTATCAAGTAGGAAAATTAACGCTAACGGAGCTTAAAACTAAACTGCAGTAACTGCACCCTGGCTCTGTAGTTACTGCCTTTTGGCTTTGTGTTGCTAGTGGGGCTGCAGTAAGAGCACACTGATGGTTCACAAGAGGACTGTGCAACTTTCGCGGCCGCTAAGCCTGCACAAAAAAGAAATCCAGTAACCCTCAAATCACCAAAGAGTGGAAAGCACCCCGAACTGTGCTGCCAAGCAATGCGACCTCAGTGCTACAGTGCTATTAGCACATATTTAAATTAGATATTGTGCAGACATTTGGTACAAAATTGGCCCCTTTCTATGTAAATGAGCCTCACTGGCATTGTCGTGCCAGGTCTGCTTGAGAGCGGATATTTCAGTTTTCTTTTTCTCTCAGTCAAATCCCTTGCCTGAAGTTTTGAGGAATGCCTCTGCACTTCATCTTTCAGGACCTGTAGCTTGCACTCTGAAAATTTTAGTTCTCTTCTTCTTTCATCAGTTGTTCTGCCGATGGGGTTCTTGGCACTAAGGAAACATTTATACTTTGCCATGTGGATAACTGCAATTAGGTGCAAAATTGGGCAAAACTACAAAACTTTATGGGCCTGTTTGTGCTGTAATATCATTTGTGCAATATTTTTTGTCAATTGGACTTTGAAACAGGGTAGACAGTAGATGCAAGTGATGCACAATTCTTGGTGCAATCACCGACCACAATCCATTCTTTCTGAATTTGTTTTCAATTTGTTTTGTTTTAGTAATCTGATGACCAGAAATCTGAAAGCAAGAGGGCTAGTAAATATACAAGCTAGCTAGATTGTTACAGCTAGCCTGATCTAAGAACACATTCATGCTGGCGCTATTTGGTCCTCTTTGAACGAACCCTGGTCCGCTTTCATGGATAGTTCGGTTTATTTGGAGTGGTGTGAACACTCATTCGAACTCTGGTGCCAACCAAACAAGCAAACCCTGGTCCGCATGAAAACTGGTGGTCCAGGTTCACTTGCAAATGAACCCTGGTGTGGTTGGCTTACAGTGGGTAATGCAAACGAACTATCCAGCGAGCTAAAGAGAGGAAGTGACATAGAACGTATTGCATTTTGGTGTTTGGTGCTTTTGTGGTGACCAAACGGCTGAAGGGGATGGACTGCCATTTTTGGTCCTGGCCAATCGATGAGCTGGATTTTTTTCTTCCTCGTGCTTTTTTTCTTCCTGGTCAGTGGTCGTTTCGGGCAATACCGCCCCCAACCAAGCAGCTGTTGTAACTGCGTGACGCTGTCCAGGAGGTTTGGTCCACTTTAAAAAGTGCAGTGTGAAAGTGAACCGAACCAAATGAAGGTGTGAAATTTTTCAGCATTCCCCACCCAATCAAATCGAGTCCCCTGGGCTATCCTGGTGTGAATGCGCCCTAAAGCTAAACTTGGCTACTTTTTTTTCTCCAGGTGTAACTGTATTCTGTAATATAAAAATATATATTTTCAATACATATTTTCAAAAACTTAAATTTTGGTGTTTGAGTTTGTTACCACATAACTAAATGAGACAGTAGCTACATGGATTCACGATGGGAGGACAAAAGACCAGCAAACTAGACCTGCTAAAAAGGTAACTAGCTCAGTAGAGTAACAGTAATTGTCATCTCGAAGTTTGACTCTGATGGAAATTACACTTCTGTAATTTGGTGTGGTTAAAACCCCTTTAAAAAATATTCAAATGTATTAAACTCTGAATTTATTTACTTGCTCTATTTTAAAATTAAGTGTAAATGGACAGGAGAGCCACAGAAATACATGTAAACCTTCAGTTAACTAGAAGAGCACTAGGAGAGCAAACATATCAGCCAAGGCAAAATGTCATAATGTTCATGAAACTGGAAACATAATTTACGTATCTGTATTCTCCACAATGTAATGGGTTCTTCTCTTGGCCCATGCTGTACCTCTATAATGTTGTTACACTACTGGAACTTATAACTTTGACACAATACCTTGAAAATATTGATATTCAATACCTTTTTCAATAGAATGGGGAAAATTTGACATTTATGGCATAAAATTTAAAATTATTATTATTAAACAATAAATACAACAAGGCTGTAACACAACAACACTGACTTTTCTTGGTTAGAGGCAGAGAACAGCAGTATGACTTCAGTAAAAATAATAGCGAGAAAGAAACTGTAGCAAGTAGCAGTGTCTATATTCAATATTGATATGCACTGATAAATCAATATTATTGACAGCTGTACAACTTTGTATTAAGGATGCATGATAATATCGGCACATCATCAGTACCGGCTGATATTTGCTTTAAAATGAACTTCAAATGAAGAATCAGGCAACATGCTTTTTCTTATTTTGCTCAAAGAATGAATATCACATACATTGAAAAGTGTTGTATTTCATGTCTCCATCTGCTGGTGGGCCGTCACGCTAAGTATACCTAAACATAATATGATATGAAGAGATTTGATAATCACTAAAATTCGGTGGGGGAAAAAGTCGATACATGGCTATTAGTAGGTGTATCGGTCACGAGTTGTTGCATATCGGATATCGGCAAAAAATCCACTATCATACATCCCTATTGTGTATGACATTTGGGGGCAAACAAACTATTTTGCAGTGTGCCAGCCAGCCTGAAAACCAAACCCCTTTTTAACAGTAATTGGGTGCACATAAAAAATGTATAGCTACGTACCTTCTGATATGAAACTGCCCCACCTTTCATGGACCATATTTTTGCTTTTTGAGTCTGAGTAAACTATATTCAACTATATTTTTGCTTTAACATTAGTTCACATTATCTCCCCTAAAGGGGGATGACCAGACCTGTTGGTTCCATGGTAACAATGTATGAATAAAGAAAAAAAATGGCACCAATCTGTCCTCGGGGCAAATACTTAATGTGAGGGCAGTCTTGTGTTTACCAGCCTTAGAGGTAATCTACAGTGTGTTCATCGTATTAAAGTAAATACTGTAGTTATTAATGAAAAAGCCCCGGGGTCGTATCTCTCCTCAGCCTAATGAAACCTCAGAGAACTAAGAGCAAACAGACCTCTGAACACTCACAGATCCCACCTTTGAAATAATGTTAGCGTTGATGTACATGTTGTGAAGATCCTTACAATACTGTCCATCAAATGTGATCTAGGGCTCTCACAGCTCTAAGACTGTAATAACTGCAGGGAATACAGTATCTGTGTCACTGTTCAAAAAGCTATGGGGTCACAGAGAGTTCAAAACACCTCTGTATTTCTTTTTAGATCACTGTTATCTTGCTGCTGAAAATTCAAATAACAAAATGTAGACAACAGAACTGTGACGGTATAAGAAAGACACCTTGGATATATACACAACCACACCAATAATGATTTTGTGAACCATTTAAAACATTCTTATTGTATAAATGCCACTCTCCTCTATTCACTGCACCTGAACATAAAAATACCATTTTTAAAGGCTGTGCTGATACTGCCATTGTGATAGTCTGGGTCTATCCAAATAAGACAATATATATGAATTTAATGGGTGGCTGACCTTAAAAAAACCTCTATCTCATGCTCAAAGTTTTCTGTGCCTACACAGAGTTTCAGCAACTTTAATCATATTTCTACATCCTGAGGTTTTTGCAGCGTACATACAAATAGAACTAAAACAATAAGTTGATTTATTTATTGGCCAATCAACAACTAGAAGTTGCTCTGCATATCACCACAACTTCTTGTAGCAGAGGTCTGTACAACTCACTTGTTTCTAATTCCTCACCTCCAGATTTTTTTCATTTTCAAACTTGTAGTCTTCAGCTCTAACTAGGGTTGGGTGATTGTGTCCATTGGCTGTTGTTTTCTTTTTTGGTGAGGGGTCAATTAAGCTAATTTGACGGTCTGCCTCATCGAGAATTCCACTTGGTAAATAATACAATAACCCGTACAGCGCAATTCAGTGTGTGTGCCAACAGGAACTGGTAGTCGGAGTTGGTCCACATTACTTAAGATGGCAGTTCATGTTTCTGAAGCGGCTCTTCGCTCTCTAGTTTGGTGTTTGTTTGTGTGTATGCTGTATTTGCTTGTTCTCTCTTTTGTGTGGATTGGATGGTTGAATGTAGAGAGAGTGTGGTTGTTAACTGTCAGTACCTTACAACAGTAGCACTCCTAATTGTGTTGTGTTTTTTAATGATACTACAATGACGATAAAAGGCTGATTCTGAATCTTTCGCCGACACCACACGTTTGCAGAGACAGCAAATTGCCTCATTTTGGTTCTTAAACTTGCCGGTTGCATCCAGTTTAAAACCAAAATAATCCCAAATACTGAAGGTGATTTTGTATTCTTTTTTTTGCAATGAGCCCTTCAGTGATTACATTCACTGAGTTTGCAGAGTGAGGACTCCCCTACTCCCTGCACGTGCCGCACACACACCTGCAGGAATATATTGGCAATTGCCGGTTGTTGGGCTGACTATGGCTGGTTGGAAAATGTTAACATTACTTGACCCTAGCTCCAACTGATACCAACTCAACTGACATCACTTGAGGATATTTATCATACTCCACACAGCTTCCTTTGACCTACGCGGTAGTACTCCCCAACATATGTAAACGTTGACATGTAGAATTATTGGAGTATTGGATCAGTCACAATGGGCTCTGGGAAATGGTAATTTATTCAATTGGGCCAGATTTTAAAACCAGCAAAT